CCCAAGAGGCCTCCAAAGGCACTCCCAAGAGGGCCCCCCAAAGGCAAAAAAACATTGATTTCCCAAAAAGGTTTTTGACTGATTTGGGCGTTCTCGCCTTTTCCGCTTCCCGCCGCTTCCAACACGGCCCAAGAGGCTTCCAAGAGCGCTCCAAACCATCCCAAAAGAACCCCAAGACAGCCACGAACGCCCCCAAGACGACCCACGAGGCCCCCAAGACGGTTCCCAGAGCGTGCCTTGACGGGGGACCCGAACGGACATTTCGAGCCCTCGGCCCCGAGAAGCTCCTAGGAGGCCCCAAGATGTGCCCAAGAGGCCCCAAGAAGCCCACGAGAGGCCCCCAGGACACCCGAAAAGGCCCCCAAGAGGCCCCCAAGAGGCTCCCAATACTGACTGGAGCCAGCCCAGCTCCGAACGGCTGAGCTGGTCGGGAGTCTTGGCCTCCGGCGTCGGGGTCGACGTCCCCGGCGGTGGAGGCTCGCCAGGGCCGTCCGGGCCCGACTGCTTGTGGGAGGCGAAGTGGTTCTCCAGCGTGCCCTTGAGCGAAGCGGCCAGCCACTCGCCCTGCCTCCGCAAGCGGAACTCCTCGTCCTTGTCCTTCTTCTGCTGGAGGAGAGGCGGCGTCGGCGTACTCGCTATCGATCTTCGCGTGCTGCTCCCGGGCCTTCTCGAGCTCCATCTTGCTGAGCTCGGGGGCGCCTCCGCCACGGCGCGGCGAGGTCGAGCGCGGCGGCGAACTCCGTCCCCGGCCACGGCGGTCACGGTCACGCTCGCCGTATCCCCAACGATCGTCACGGTCACGGCGGTCCCGATCATCTCGGTCGTAGCGGCTGTCACGGCCGCGCATGTCGCCCCGGAAGTTGTAGTCGTCGTCGTCGTCGGATCGGCGCCCGTCGCCACGGCGATCGCGTCGATCCTGTTGTCCACCACGGTCGCCGCCCATCCAGCGCCCGCGCTGCTGCCAGGGCTTCCCACGGCTCGCCATCGGCACCCTTTCGGACTGGTGGATGGTGCGGAACCAGATTCGCGTTACAGCTCGTAACTGCTGGGCCGAAACAGACCATGGAAGCGCGCGTACCACAGAAATGAAGAGGGAGGGGGGGTACCGGAGCAAGTGCAATTCAAAAACCAGCTCCAACATCCACATCGTTGTTAACACCGACGGAAGCTCAAGAAATTGCGCTCTGGCTAGACGACTGGCGAAGAGAGATTTCAGTGCGCCGAATCCCTGGGGTAGCACTCCCGTCCACGGAAGGATCTGTGTCTTGCATCTGTCCTGTTCTTCCCCCCAGAGCCAGAAGCGGTTCCCGTTCTTAGGTATGATCGTGTAAGACTCGCCGACAGTGTAGATTTCAAGATCCAGCCACGTGCACGATGACGGCCACCTGTCCGAACTCGTACCCGTAGTCTGTGAAGCTGATGATGCTGACGAGCATGCCGGCGTCGCTGGTGTAGGTGATACTGTGATGTCCGAGGCTGGGCTGAGACCAACTGTGTACACGTGCGTGAGATACCCATGCAAACATGACCGGCAGTACCTGGTGCTCATGGCTAGTATGTCGTCTACGTATCTCCTGATGGTGATGCACAACGATGCGGAGCCCGACGATGATGTCGTATACCCTTTATCGGCAAACCTGTTGGGCCCCCTCTCTGCGCAGAGCTCGCAGTGGCCCAGCAAGGCCGACAGGGCCAATCCAGAGAGCACGCCGCCAATCGGAAGGCCGTCGAGCTGGCGTACGATGCCTCCGATCACGACGAGGCTCACGAAGTAGAAACTGATCAGGGCCCGCAGCGCGTCATCGGAAGAGACGCGGTACCAGGACGGAGGAGTGGACCCCTGCCACCGCTTCGTGTGCTGTTGGCGGCTCCGCTCGACAAGGCACGAGTCGACTTCCAAGCGGCGCTCGACCTCCCGTCCGAGCGCAGCCCAAGCAGCGCCGACGCGATCCGCCGCGCGCTGCTCGTTGGCCTGGTCCGCATCCGCAGCCGCGACACTGAGCTCCCGCATCGGCGCGGCGCACCGCGTGCAGCGCGCCGAGCACCCGGCGGGGAGATGCTGGCGCATGTCCCGCACAGCCGCGCCAGCCAGGCAGGGGTCGAAGACCTCCTGCGTGAGCCCCGCCTGCTGCAGGAGGGCGCGACCTCCACGCCCAATGATCCTGTGCCCGTACGTGCCCGGAGCGTTGGCGCAGTTGACCACGCGCCTGAAGCAGCTGTGCATCGGCTTGCCGCAGGTCCGCTGGCCACTCTCGTTGAAGCACTTCGACTTCGCCGTCGGGAACGCGTAGGGTGGAGACGTAGGCGAGGAGAGGTGAGAAAGAAGACGTCGGTGTAGCAACCACTCGGGCAGGCCACATCGTGCTCGTGCCCACAACCAGGCGCTGGCGGACTCAGGCGTGAGGTCAGCGCGCGCTCGCCATGGCGGGTCGCGCGCTGCGGACTCCAAGAGGGAGCGCACCGTGTCTGGACCATCCGCGCGCCAGATGCGGTCGGGCTCCTTATCGTCGGCGATGTAGATGCAGTGGGGGACACTGCCCAAGCCGTCCCGCATCGCGGCCTCCTGGCGGGCCCACTCCGCAAGGGGACTCGGCAAAGCCTGGCCGAGGGCCTCCGTCGAGCCCCGCAGATGCCGCAGCCCGCGTCGCAGGGCCCCAGGATGGAGGTGGGCCTTCGAACACCACGCCTGCAGCGCCTGGCACGATTCCCTAGTCAGCCGGCGCGGGTCGCCCCATACCGGGAGTCGCCATGTCCCCGCGAGCCTGCCGAGGCGGTAGGGTGGCCGCGGGGGCTCGGGCGGGGCGTCAGGTGGGTGGCCGACCACGTGTTTGGCGCAGAAGCGGCTCGCCGACACGTGGTCTTTCCAGCGCGGCTGCCCCGCGAACCGCACACGGACGCCAGCCTGGTAGATGCGGCGAGTCGGACTGAACTTGATCCCGCTCGTCACGGCGTCGAGGCCTCCACGGAACCAACGCAAGCGAGCAGGGTGGCGGAACGCATGAGGTACACGCACCGTGGGGACCCGCACCACTGGGTAGCCCATGGCCTGGACCGCGAGGTCGATGTGGCGCCTGGCGGCACGCTGACGCAGCGGAGAATCCAGCAAGACCTCGATGGACGCCAGGGCGCGGATCAGGATCTGCGCCAGGCAGGCACGGTCCCCCTTGGGCCGGGGGAGCGGGGCAGGCTTGGCCGCCATGCGCGCCAGTTGCAGCCCCACACGGCGCGGCTCCAGGATGTACAGCGGGCCTTCCTGGTCAGTGCGGTGATGCCACTCCTCCAATTGGCGTCGGTACAGCATGGCATACGGGGCTGAGTCACCGAGGGCCCCTGGAAAGAGCGCTTCCTCGACGGTGGGGTCCTCCGTGTAGCGCTGGAAGACGTGCTGCCACAGCTTGCCACCGACGCGTCGGCGCGGGGCCCGCACCCAGCGGGGGGGGCGGCGGCGCCGTCGATGTGGGCAGCTCAGCGGGGCCAAGGTCCCGAGGCCCTTCCTGACGCTCACCGCCTCCGCCTCCCTGGCATCTGCAGCGTTTGCGGAAGGCTGCCTCTGCACCAGCGCCTGCCGCTCAAAGTGGAATGCGGCCCTCTCGGTGTCCAGCAGCAGCAGTGGCAAGAAGAACAGGGACCCGAGGCACAGGCGAAGCTGCTGGTACCGCGGGCGGCATCCAAGCCGCGTGCGGGGGGAGAGCAGGGCGCGGACGTGCTCCGCGACACGGCCTTGCACTCCAGGGAGCCCCCCAGTGCGGAACATGGCCTTGCCGACGTAGTCGTGGGCTTCCGTCGCAAGCAAATACACTGTGGCCGTATAGTCCGTGTTGATGCCCAGCGCCACCGCGAAGGCGATGGAGAGCATCGGGTGGTGCCAGTCATGCAGGGCATCTGTCCACTCCTGTGCCAGATATGGGAGAACTCGCCGAACCCATCGTGGCGGGTGTTGCACTTCACCATGTACCACGTGTCGCCGGAGCTGCAGGACACTTTTGAATATCAAGATGAACGAAATCAAGGACCATAAAAGGAACCTTGAAGCGGACGGAGGCCTTCTGGAGTGGGAACCAGGACGTAGTCGATGAAGAAGGCAAGCGCAGCACACGCGTGGACCACAGCATGCCGGTGATCCCGACGGTGCCAGAGCCACGTCAGCACATGGTCGCGGACCTGGCTCTGCGGCAAACGCCTCGAAGCAGAGCAGACATCGGACAATAACATGTAGGTGCATCGAGCTGCCGCTGGCTGCGCAGTTGGGCGGGGCCAGTGTGGCCGTGAGGTTTCGGCCAAGTCTGTCGGGCGCTCTCCAGCGAGTTCTCGCCGCTGCCCTCTGGGTTGCGCCACAGGTTGCTCGCAATCATCTTCACGTGCTCCACCTCCGCGTACGAGAGGATGCGGCCTAACAAATTGTAGGTGCATATCTGCGAATCCAATGGGGACGCCGTCTGAAGACTCGAACAGCCAATCTACGAGCACGATCACACCTATGAAGAAGATCTCTCACCACAAGAAGAACACGCGTATGGACGGCACACCCGGCACGAACACCAGGCACCTGATCCCGCGGCCACCGTTGCACAAGCCGGATCAGCCGAGGTATGAAGAGAGTTTCGTTCCTTATGGCCAGTGAGGCCCGCGCTTGCGGGTCCGCCTCCCGTCCGTGCTGCGAGCGCGGCCTGGGCACGTCGGGAGCCTCGAGCCTCCTCGGTTGCGGAGGAGCCTGCTGGTGGAGAAAAACGTACAGGAAGACGGATGGGACAAAACGGGTGGGTGGAGAGAGAGATAGAAAGAGAGAGAGATGCAGAGATAGAGAGAGAGAGAGAGAGAGATGCAGATGGAGGGATAGAGAGAGAGAGAGAGAGACACAGAGTGACAGGAAGAGAGAGAGAGAGAGAGAGAGAGAGAGAGAGAGACAGAGAGACAGAGGGAGAGAGAGAGAGAGAGAGAGAGAAAGCGAGAGAGAGAGAGAGAGAGAGCGAGAGAGGCAGACGGAGAGAAGGAGTCGGACACGGGGAAGGGGGGCGGGGCGCGAGCGCAGGCGGGACGATGGAGGCAGGAACGGCGCGAACGAGGAGAGCGAGGGAGGGCGGCGGAGCGGGGACGCGTCTGCGATTCTCATGCTTGCGCCGTGCATCGTCCCCCCAGCAGCGGAGAGGCCGCGGGCGATATCGAACGCGCGAAGGCCTCCCTCCGCCGAGGGCACACAGGTCCCGCCCCTTTGCGGCAGGCTCGCCGAGCGCGGGGCCCAAGCGTGTTCGCTGCCAGTGCGTGCCTCCCCCTTCTCTCTGCTGCTGCTGCTGCTGCTGCTTCTCGTGCTCCCTCTCCCCCTCCCTCCCTCCCTCCCTCCCGTCCTTCCTTATCCCACCTCCCGTCTCCCTCTTTCCTTCCCCCTCCTCCCTGCACCTCCTCATCCGATCCCTCCCGTCATCCCTGCTCCAGATCAACAACTCTTCCCTGTCGCATCCCGGGGCGTGATGCCTCAGACTGCCTCACTACTGTTCATCCTGAGCCTTGGAATTGGCATACACTCTTAGATGCACCAGTTACACTACTAGAGTACAAGCAGTTGTCAAACTGTGGTGCTCGACTTAGGTAGCGCCGCGCACATTGGTGTTGAGCATTTCCACAGATTTTAACGATGGAGGGGATGGTTATCAACATGTGATTCGGGCCTCGGCACCGCGCACATGCGTCTTAATAACTTTAACTGTTTCAACACATGGCAAGCGGTTCCTTTTCACCATGTGGCTATCGCCTTCTGGTGTTCGGCCTGTGACTCCCGCCTCAACGCCGTGGACGATCGTCTTAAACGATTGCAGCACGTTCAAGGACGGAACCAATAGTTGTGTTCACAATTGTGCTCTCGCCATAGAACCGCGCACATTCGTCTTAAAGGGTTGCATCAGCTTGAAGTATGGGGGGCGGCTCCCTTTCAAACTTGTGCTCTCGCCTTAGCGCCGCACGCGTTACATTAATCATCGTGCAGCATGCGCGAAGAGTGAACACAGGTCGTGCTGAATTTGGTGGTCTCGCCTTGGAGCCGCACACATTCTTTTTGAGAGTGCAACGTCCAACAAGATGGACAACTGATTTTTCAAACCAGAGTTACCGCTCGAGGCATGCTCACAATCGGGACTTCAAACCATGTAGCGCACTGCACGGCACTGGTCCTGGGCGGCTCCTTTTTCAAAATGGAGCTCTCGCTTGAGACATCGTTGACATCCATAACGACAAGGACAAACTTGCGCAGCAGCTACCTGGATGGGGATCGGTTCTCCTTCGAAAAAGGGGTCTCGCTGGACGAACCGATCAACTGCATGATTACGTGTTTGTTGCGTTCTTGACTATGCGCCAGCAAGGCAACTCCTTTTCAAAGCAAGGCCCTCGACAAGAAGGCAAGCCCGAATGCGCTGGCCTTTCACGGGGTGCTTGGTATAGTGAAGCGGAACGCTTGTAGGGGCGCATGAGGGCCAGACTTGGAAAGGAAGGGTGCGTTCTATCATCGCTGATGCATCTTGGATTTACTCTGGTCCCTCCTCCTCCTCCGCCTCCGCCTCCTCCTCCTCAAACATCCTCCATCCCTCCTCCCTCAGTTGCTCCATCATATCTACTCATCAGTTCCTCTCTTCCTCCTCCCCCTCCAACTCCTCTTCGCACTCCTCTTCCTCCTTTCTGCACCTCCCCTCACTCGTCCCTGATCCATCCACCATCCTCTTCTTCCTTCCCCTTCTCCTTTTCCCTCGTCATCCGACTGGTCAGGGGGGAGGCTGGCACTGGTGGTGCACATGCTGTGGCCCCCGAGCGAGGCGGTCTAAAATCTGTGTCTGTACAGGGCCCGCCGGGAGGGCACTCCGGGCAGCTGGGGACACCTCCGAGGCTCTTGGCGTCGGCATCTGCGTCGGAGTGCACCGCTCTGCGAAGACACCTCTTCGTCGTCATCGTCCTCCTCCGCGCCCTCCACGCGAGGATCTCGTCTTCCTCGTCCCCCTCGTCCTACCTGTGCGTCCTCGTCGTCCTCCTCGTTCACTCCCTCGCCGTCGTCGTCCTCGTGATCGCCCGCTTCGTGATGCGTGTCATCCTCGTCCTCCTCGTTCCGCCCTCGTCCTCCTCGTACTCGTTATCCTCCTCGTTCTCCTCCTCGTCCTCCTCCTCCTCCTCCTTGTCTTCGTCCTCGTCCTTGTCCTCCTCCTCCTCCTCCTCCTCCTCCGCATCATCGTCGTTCTCCTCTCCCTCGTTGGCGTCCTCCTCTTCCTCCTCCTCATCCATGAGCTACTTCTCCGCCTCCTCGTCGTCCTCGTCGTCCTCGTCATCCTTGTCATCCTCGTCCCTCTACTCCGAGCTCCAAGCATTGGGCGCTTCGAGTCTCTGCAGTAACCGCGGCCGTCTCCAGCGTGTCCTCCGATTTCCAAGGGGGGGGGGGGGCGGCATATGGGGAACTCTGGAGCCCTCCCAGTGGGTGAAGGGGCTCCCCGGAGCGGAGGGGAAAGACCTCCCAGGACGCGGAGGCTCGTCGAGGTCTCCAATCAAAAGTACCTGGAACGCCGATCTATTCGGTGTAGCGGCCGTCACCGGGCCCGCCCGTCCCTCCCCCTGGTGACGCAACGTTCAGAGCCGGCTGGGTCTGGGAACATCTATCAATGCTGTTCTGGACTCTGGGCCGTTCCCGGGCCCCAGGGGGTCAAAACTTTACCCCCACCCGCAGAACTCCTGCTGGGGAGGGGGGCACTTCCTTGTTTGCAACATTGGCTGCGCGAATGTTGCATCAATGCTGTCATATTCGGCGTCGCGGTGTGTATCCAGCCGCCCTCTCTAATTAAATGCAGAATCTGTATAAAAATGTATGCATACATCGGGCAAGACGCAATGACGCCCGCCTGACCAAAATCCGCTTTCGGTAAGGTCGCACCGGCTATCCCGCTCCGCCCGCAAATTGACATAGCATTCCGCGCTACGGCGGGACAATTGAAACGAATTCGAACCAGCATACTGCTAATTTTCAATTTCGCTTGCTCCAGGGCTGACTGCCTCGCGCATACACAGTAGCGCGGGCCGGTGCCGGGACCCCTGCGAAGGGGGAAAGGTCATTGACTAGACAGGCCAGCCACAAGCCATCGCAAAACGGGGGCTGTTAGACAACACCAACGGTGCACCAAGCCAATTTGATACACGCTCCCGCGCATGTCGACACTCGCGGCAACGCGCATCAAGCCGGGGGTGGTACACAATTGGCGCCGTCCAAGGCTGATTCCAAACGAACTAAAGCACCGGACGCGTGGTTTCCCACGACCGGCGTCGCGCAAGCTCCACGCCTAGCGAGCGGCGCCCCTGAGTTCCCCTGAGGGGCGCGGCTCGAGAAGAGTACGACTGCGACCAAAAAATCGGAATTCACAAGCAATCTCTGTTCGGGGATGCGCTAGGCCGGCTCAGCGCTGGCCTGGGTCAGCCAAGGCACACCGTCGCGAGCCCCATCCGGCCGCTTCGTAGATCCCAGACCCTGGCCAGCGGAGGGCGAACGGGGGGGATCGGCTCCGCGTAGCCCTCACACCCGATCAGCCAAAAGGCATTGGCTGACCCCTGTTAGCACTGAGCCCGATACGTGCGCCCCGGTCGGTGGGTACTGGCCTATGCCGCCAGCGCCCGCCGATTCTTCACGATCCCATCCTGCGCCCACGCGCGGCGGATCCTAAAAAGCTGCGTCACGCATTCCTGGAGAGCGTGCAGCCCCTCCTCCTCTCCTCCTCTGTCCCTCTTCTCCTTGCAAGCTTCAGGGCCCGTCAACGTCGAATTGGGGCATCGGATCGAATCGGCATGTGCGCCGGATCAGACCACATCGGCATCGAATCGGATCGGCAGCGCCAGGATGCACAGCAGCGCCATGCAGACATCGGGCCGCGTTGGCTCGCAGAAGTCCTGAAACGAAGCAGATCAGGCTGGCCGAAATGGATATCGAATCGGATCGATCGGGACCTGGGTCTTGTCCTGCTGCTTTCCGCACGCTCTGAGCTGCAACCCGACGCCAATCGTTGATCGAAGACGGCCGGTAAAATATGGGATGTTTGCCAGCACGGACCACAATTGGTAATGACGTGCACTGTGGATCGGGATGTGGTGTGGTGCCAGCTATGCGGTGCAAACTATGTGATGCAAGCAGCGTCGAATAAGGCATACCATGTCAAGGTGGGTTGTGCGGCCCAAGATATGCAGTGCAAGCTGCGTGGTGGAACAACGCGGTGCCATCTATGTGGTGCAAACTGTATGATGCAAACGATGTTGCATAAACGACTTGGTATAACAAAAAGAGGTGGAAGCTATGTGGTGTGAGTCTTGCCGTGTGGGCGTACGCTGTACGTTGCAAGTTATGTGGTTTTAAACTCTGTGGTGCGAGGTGCGAGCTACTCGGTGCAACATATGTGCTGTAAGCCATGCGGTGCGAGCTGTCTGGTGTAATACAGGTGGTGTGGACAGCGAGATGTAAGATACGTGGTGCAAGACATGTAGTGACATTTAGGTAGTAACATATATGTGGTGCAAGCTACATGGTACAATCTACGCGGCGCAAACATCCCCCCCTACGCACCGGCAACTTATTTGGCGAAACCCATTCGGCCACGGGCGCGGCTACTGATTAACATTATGTGCGCAAGTTGACGTCTAGACGATTTTGCCAACACTATTCGCTATAATGCGAGTTCTGGCGATGACTTCAGCAAGTGTGCGCGGGCAGACAAATTGCAAGATCGGTTTTGCGAAAACCCAGCTTGGGCGCTGATGTTTTTGTATGCTGGACTGCGTTATGAACGAATGTGTTTGGCATGGTTTAGGCACATGCGCGCGTGTGGACTTTGTAGTACGGTGGGGGCTTTGGGTAAGGAGCCCATAGGTAAGGAATCCAGGGTCTGGAGGCTGGTGGAACTCCAATTGAGGCTTGGCCATGGACATCACCGCCGCCCTTATTAGATAAGGAAGCCCCCAGGATCTGAAGCCTCCTGGGCACATTCCTTAACCAACGCCCTTACCGCAATGCCTGCTTGGATTAATGAAGGATTTTCGTTCTGCAGGTCAACGGGGGCGCACGTTGTGTTATATGACTTTGGGTGAGCGGTGGGTGTCGCTACCGGCTGGGCTGGGATGGCTTGATTTCAGCTTGAAAATGAACAGTCAGGCAGGATCCGATGCACACTGCACTACTCCAAGATGGGTTCGCCGAGGGCGCGGGGTGGTGGTAGAAACCGACTCTTCTTTCGAGAACAAGAACCGGCGAAAAATTGGCACACCCACCAGGCTCACGAGGCGCTCGTGGGGCACCTCGGCGCACACGCACACCCACCGCACGAGGCGCCAACGAGGTGCTCGCGGGCGGGCACCAGGCGAAACTTTGTCCGACCCCCCCAGCGCACGAGCCGCCAACGAGGCGCCTGTGGGCGGGCACAAGACGAAGCCTCGGCCGACCCACCACGCTTTCCTTGCGCAAGCGAAATAGGAAGCCCGATGTGCAGACACTGGTTGGAGAATGGCGAAGCTATCCAGGACCCAACCACAAGTAGCTGCGAGCACGAAGGGGGGGGCGAGCAACAAGGACTGGGGCACGGGGGGGATGGGGCACGGCGGGATGGGGTCGCGGAGAGGGGAGCGACCAGACGTTCGGATAGTATGTTTTCAGGCGCTGTCGCCCCTGTTCCAAGGCGCAAGAGCAGCTCGTGGAGGCACAGCGCATGGGGAGTCTCTGCGACGCGTGCTGGTCACCCCGAAATAATACATGCGAGCCCTTGCAGGTGGGCCTTAGTTGGGGCTCCCTACGGGGCCACGAAACGTGTCAGGGGTGTGCCGAAGGCAGAGGCGGAAACTATGCGAACCCTGGCACGTGGGCCTTCGCTGGAGCCCCCCATCTAGAGCCGCGAGACATGTGAGGGGTGTGCCGAATTGACAGACGAGAGCTCATGCGCACCCTGGCGTTCGTGCTTTAGTTCGAGCTCTCATGGGACCACGAAGCGTGTACGGGGCGTTCCGAAATTAGAAGCGGTGATTTATGTGAACCGTTGAAATGTGAGTCACCTTTGAGATTCCCTCTGGGGCCACGAAGCGCGTGGTGTGTGTGTGTGTGTCGACATGATAAGCGTGAGCTTGGTCTATTGGGTCTTAGTCGAGGCCCCCCATGGTGCCACGAAGCGTGTCCGGGGTGTGTCGAACGCAGAGGCGGAAACTATGCGAACCCTGGCACGTGGGCCTTCGCTGGAGCCCCCATCTAAAGCCGCGAAACATGCGAGGGGTGTGCCGAACTGACAGACGAGAGCTCATGCGCGCCCTGGCGTTCGGGCTTTAGTTAGAGCTCTAATGGGGCCATGAAGCGTGTACGGGGCGTTCCGACATGAGAAGCGGTGATTTATGTGAACCGTTGAAATGTGAGCCACCTTTGAGATTCCCTCTGGGCCACGAAGCGCGTGGTGTGTGTGTGTGTGTGTGTGTGTCTGTCGACATGATAGAGCGTGAGCTTGGTCTATTGGGTCTTAGTCGAGGCCCCCCATGGTGCCACGAAGCGTGAGAGAGGCATGCTGGAATGCGGAGCGGGAACCTATGAACTAGAACCATCACGCGCGTTTCGCGCGCGCTAAAGTTCTAGCTAGCTTCTTGGGGCCTCCTCGGAGCATCCTGGGCTGTTTCTTGAAGTCGTCATGGGACCTTCGTGGCATGTCTTCGGGGGCCTCTTAGAAAGAGTTTTGAAGCCTCTTGGGTGCCTTCTTGGGGCCTCCTTTGGGCTTCTTCGGGGCCTCTTGGGGCCTGGGCTTCCTGGGGGCATCTTGGGGCCTCTTGGGGGCATCTTGGGGCGATTTCTCAGTTCACGTTCCCTCTCTTGGGCCCCTCTTTGCGCCTTCTTGAGACCCTCTTGCGCCCTCTTGGGCGGCTCTGGGGCCGTCTCGGGGCTCTCTTGGGCCGTCTTGGGGCCCTCTTGGGCCATCTTGGAGCGGTTTTGGGAGCCTCTTGGGCCGTGCTTTAGCGCTGGAAACATGAAACAGCGGGAATGCAAAAAACATTGAACAACAAAAAACTAATGAGAATCAACGATTTTGCCCTCTCGGGGCGCTCTTGGGCGGCATCTTAAAGGCCTCTTGGGGCGTCTTGGGGGCCTCCGGGGCAATTTAAAACGAATCGTGCGTCGCCAGAGACCCCTGGACGGTGTCTTGGGGGTGTCTCGAGACCGTCTGGGGCCGCCGGGATTGCTGTCTGATGGCTCCCCGGGCGATTTTAGGCCTCCCAGAGGCGGGCCCGGCCCCGTGTCCCCACATTTGTGGTCGAGGTTCCTGCCCTCGGCCCCCGAGCCCAGTGCGCCGTTATGTATACGTTGGCATTTGGGCCTTAGTTGGGGTGTGCTGGCATGATAAGCGGAAAGTCATATGGACTTTGCAATGTAGGCCTTCGTCCGGGCTCCCTGTGGGGTCACGCAGCGTGTGAGGGGTGTGCCAAGAGGAAAGGCGGGAACACACTTGCCTTAGGGCCTTAGTTTGGGCTCCCTCTGTGGACACAACGTGCGAGGGGTGTGCCGAAATGGGAGGCTGGACCTCATGCAAGCTGTGGCATTTGGGCTTCAGTTGGGACTCTCAATTTGGCCACGAAGCGCGCGAACGGTGTGAGATAATGGTGGGCGGGAGCTCGTGTGAACATTGGCATTTGGGCCTCAATTGGGCTCTCTATGGGGCCCTGGGACGTGCGAGGGGTGTGCCGAAATGCGCAGCGGGAACTCATGTAATGGCATTTGGGCCTTAGTTGGGGCTCCCAAGCGGGGCATGAATCGCGCGATGGATGTGCCGAAATGAAAGGAGGCGGGAAGTCATGAGATCTTTGGCATTTCGGCTGTAGCTGGGGTCTCTATGGGGCCACGGAGCGTGCGAGGGGTGTGCCGACCTGAGAGGCGGTAGCTCATGTGAACGGTTGCAGTTGGGCCTTAGCTTGGGCTCCACATGGGGCCCTGGGACGTGCGAGGGGCGTGCCGGGGCGTGCCGAACTGAGAGGCGGTTACTCATGTGAACCTTGGCATTGGGGCCTTCGGTGGGGCTCCCTGGGGGCCACGAACAGGGGGGTGGGTGTGCTGAAATGGAAAGTGGGAACTCATGTGAACTTTTGCATGTTGGACCTTAGTTGAGGCCTCCGCATGAGGCCAACGTGCGAGGGGCATGCCGCCGAAATGAGAAGCGGGAAATTCGTGTGACCTTCGGCATTTGGGCCTTAATCGGGGCCCTCGTATGTGGCCACGAAACGTGCGATGGATGTGCCGAAATGAAAGGCGGGCTCTCATGTGAACATTGGCATTTGGGCCTTCGCTTGGGCTTCCTGTGGGACCACGATACGTGCGAGGGGTGTGCCGACGGGGAGGAGAGAAGGAGGAGGAGGAGGAGGAGGAGGAGGAGGAGGAGGAGGAGGAGGAGGAGGAGGAGGATTGCGCTGCCGAGAAGGAGGAGGAGGAGGAGGAGGAGCAGGATGAGGATGAGGAGGAGGAGGAGGAGGAGGAGCAGGAGGAGCGCTGCAGCGCGCAAAAGGGGAGGAGGAGGAGGAGGAGGAGGAGGAGGAGGAGGAGGAGGAGGCGGAGGAGGAGGAGAAGGAGGATGAGGAGGAGGAGGAGGGGTCGAGTTGGGAGGACGCGAGGCGCTGCGGAGTCAAACTGAGGACCCAACGCCACAGGACGGTTGGGGACAAAACGACCAGCAGGGGGTGGGAGAGGGTCCCAAGGGACA